GGTTAACATTCCGAATTTTAAACCCGCCTTTTCTCAGCCCAAATGGAGGAAGGAGTCATTTGATTTAACCCTGTCTGATGAGGACACCCTCAATGTTATAACTCAATTGACAATCAAGCTAGTATGTTATGAGTCCTCAAACCAAAAGGCAGGATAAGGCCAAAGCAGGAGTCAAGCTTTTCAGATTCTGCCAACATCTCACCAGAATCCTTTGAACTTTCTGACAAATGGCCAGAAGTCTGGATTCTCCTGCCCTCCCACATAAAAGGAAAAACAAAAAAAAACGAATCCCCAACTGTAGCTTCTGGCAGAGCAAATTCTGCAGTTGTCACACCAATCACTTAAATCTGAAAGGTTTAACATGAATACCCCTCTGCTGATAAATGAGTTCTTACCCGTGTTTAAAACGTGACTGGAAAAGCAGACGAAACATCAGAACCCTCAAACTGATCTTAAAGCAATTTCGAGATGTACAGTAGTCAGTCTGGTCTGAATCAGACGCTTTTCACTGTAAAACATTCAAATTGTGAAAATTGCCAAAGAGGAAAATGACTATAAAGTTCAAATTCCATTTTAAAGACACTTGGTGTTGTAATAGAATATAAAGACTAAGAACAGTCAGAGGAGAGACACTCAGCACACAAGTTTCTAATGGTTGAAATGTGATGGCAAACATGAATCAGACCATCGTGTCAATTTCATGAGAACATCAAGAAAAAAAAATGAGACAATTCACAATGAGGTGAAATCACACTTCTTACAGAGGTAAAGCAAGAGAACAAAAGTGCTTATGACAGCTGATGTAACAAACTGAATTCTGCACCATTACCCTTTTCTCCACAGTAGGAGCGAGCACACCGCACAAGAGGCAGAGCGCTGCTATGTCTATGCACTGGAGTGGAAGCGTCATTCAGCTGAGTAAACAGTGTTAATGCCCTGCGAGCCCGTCAGCCTGTTGTCCCGGTTTCCAAAACCTGACTGCAGCTGCCGAAGCTACAGCTCCCGGCTGCTGTCGCCTAACGACAGGAGATGACCCGGCCCTTCCAGACCGGTCGGTAGCTACTAGCTATACGGCTCTAGGAACTCATCCTGCCTTTTCTGGAGAGAGGCCAAGGGTAGCTTGCGCCATTCTCCCACAACCCTTTGGATAAGGAAGTGCCTCCTGTTTGCAGTTTTTAACGCAAGCCCACGTGGTTTCCACATGTCTTCTGGTTCGTGTTCAATCTGAAGAAGTCTGCAGAGCGCGCGCAAGTGTTCCAAAGCTGCCCTGAAGTCACTCAGCGACACCCAGCGGGGAAAAAGTACACGCTGAGAAGGCCGATGCCCGAAAGCAATGTCACCTCAACCACTGCTTCGGCTGGAGCACAGCGGAAGATTCCTCAGTCGCCACTCTGCTGGCGGGTTCTGGGCGTCCCCGAAACGAGACGCACATGCGGAAAAAAAACAGAAAAGGTATGCGAGGAAATTCCCTTTGATGCGGGAGGTCACTGTGGACAGCGCACGGCCTGCTGTGCCTGCTGGGGGTGTAACTACAGAAAGCAGTTTCTCCCAGCAGCCTCCCGCATTCCACAGCCACCCGAGGGAAAGACCGCAAGGCTGGTTTCACTGCATCCCAGAGAGCTGCACAGCGTTCAAACGCCCATCAGAGGCCTCAGACAACAGACTCGGGATGCAGAGCAAACTCGGGTAGCAAATCAGGAATTCTCTAGAAATACTCTCTAAAAAGACCGAAAATTAATTTTAAAGAAGCTAGGGTTTCAGATCTGCTTGATTCTGCCATTCAACCCACCACGTGTGTAAAATCACAGGCTGTAAAAGAAATGAGCTAACTAGGACCCTGAAACCTTAAGCAAGATCAGACAGAGGAAGCCTTTTAGAAAAATGTTAGAACTAAATCCCCATCTACTAAATCCAACTTTTAACACTAACAACCCATGTGAAACTGAACCCACCATTCCTTGCGTGTGGTTACCATGATCCAGGTATTCCTTACATGAATCCTCATCAGTACCCTACCTGCATTACTTCAAATGCGTTAGCTCTGCAAGACTGTTAGAAGACAGAGCTCACAGACCTCCTTCCTGGGAGATATGCAGTACTCTTGCTATGCAGATCTCTTCAGTGCTTAAAACTGCTGAAAACTATGCACTATAGATTGTGAGGCCGCACAATTTTAAACCAATTATTAAAAAAAGAATTTGCGTTTTCTATTAATTCGTCCCCGGCCCTGCCACAAGAAAGAAAAAATTCCCCTTTTGAGAAAAGAGCAAAATGTGTCATTTTGGTTGAGAGGGGAAAAAAAATGCATCATTTACTGAAAAGAGAAAGCTGAGAAATGTGTAGGAGAGTAAAGTCATGTACATTTACAGATACCTTGATGAATTCTTACACTAATTCTGAGCTTAGAAACCGAGATAAAATAACCACATTCTGTCCAAGACAATAGCAGAAGACTTCCACTGGCAGCATACCAAGAAAAAGATTGCTCTGCATTTTCTTCATGCTATTAATACCAGGGATAAAGATTTCCTTTGTCACAGGACACACTGCACTTTGTAACATCTAACCTAAAAGCTGAGGTTTACCGAGAGGAATATGAAACAAGAGCATGGCTCCACGGGTTTCTATGGCTCAAAGCAAACCTGGTCATACAGGGTCTCTTGCAGTTCAGATCTTGCACCAGCCCTTACAAAGGCAGTGTGCAATTTCTACAGGGTACTGTAAAAGACTTGAAACCCGCCTTTCCACCATTTCTTTTGTGCTGTTTATTCAAATGTAGTAGTCTCTTAACTACACATTAAAGCAGTCTAGACAGACTTGAAGAGTCTAATGAGCACTACAGCACCGTATAAATGAGAAGCTAGCATTAACAAAGTCAGGGTAGTTTTGGCTACAATCCATTCCAATTATTTAATAGTTAGTGGCAAACTGGTATTTGTTTCCTTCCAAATTCAGCCTAGTACGTCTATGTTTTATTTCAGGCATTCAATACAGGCTGACTTTAAAAGTATTTTCTGATCAGCCTAATACAAAAGACAAAAGGAAAATGTCAAGAGTACTGGGGACTAACATGCCCTGTGCATCCAGGACACAGCCACAGCAGCAGTGACTGTAACCCCTCATGGACTTCAGGGAGATTTCTTCCACATTAAAATAAATTCATAGCAGAATACCGACACAGGAATAATTACCTCACAGGAAGAGCTGTAACAAAGGATATACTTTGTACCTCAAAAGTTTGTAATTACACTACTTAGTGATCCACTTAAATGACTGCTGTGCATCTCTAGTCTGGAAACTCAACTTCAAAAACCGTGTTACAGAGAACTGCAACAAATTCACAAAGTTTTGAGGAAATTTTTAAGGCTTTCGAAGCACATTTTACTGAACAGTCATGATGGGCAAACTCAGGTGGGGCTGCACACTGGTGGTGGTGGAGGGGAGTCCCCATTACCTGTAAAGCGCTTTGAGTGGAGTGTCCAGAAAAGCGCTATATAAGTGTAAGCAATTATTATAAACTCCCTTTGCCAATGAACTCGGAGCACTAACGGGGCACCTGCGCCGCCTCCCCACCTTGCAAGACTGTGCTGACCGTGAGCAGAAAGATGGGTGCCGCCTACATGAACGGTGCCACACCCAGATCGGCCACCGGACAGACGGATGGACGGACACCGGGTCCCAGGACTCCATCAGCAGAGCACAGTGCAGGCAGCTCACTCCACAATTTGCAGCAGCCCAGAGCCTCACACACGACTTGACTCGCTCAGCGCTCTTGGCACGGCGATGTTACTCGTGGTCTATCGCTGGAACAGCCCGCCAGTCGGCCTGCCAGCTCCGGCAGGCCTGTCTCAGCAGCCCCGCTTCAACATACTGCTGGAACAAAGCAGTCCTCCTCTTCATCAGAGGGGCAAACCAGCTCCTTCCCCGACTTTCACCAGGCCCGTCATTCAAGTGGTTAAACCACCTCACCCCCTGGGCCCGATCAATTCTCTGACTTAACAAGATAACTTAGCAATTATGCAACACTCAAAAGTCACCAGAGTGTACCATAGTCAGTCATGAATAATTAATCAAAATGACGACAAAAACAATCAATAACCTAAATCTATTTTTTCTAAAAACATCTGTATAACAGAAGGGCATCTGTTATACAAGAGAATGAGCAGAAGGAAATGGAGCTGCTAGATGTCAAAATAGACTAACATTAAGAAATACCAAAATGTAGATGTTGGTAAACTGTTGATTGAACTAGGAAACCTGCTCAGCAATGCTAAATCACAGACGGCTGCTATACTGTCAGGGAAATGAAAGGGAGTCACAACTTGACTCCTTGAGATTCTAGAACATTTAAACTCTCCAAGATCCTGCATTTCCTACCCTTTCCAATACAATCCTCTCCAATGGCCTGTGGATGGAATCAGGTCTTCAGAGGAGGGACACCATGATATTCATTGATAATATCTGCATCTCCAACCAAATCCAATCAAACAACCCGTTGAATGGTTCCAGGAACAGCGCAAATGCAATTCAGTGGCCAAACCAAATACCAACATGCTAACTTGGAAAGCTTTGAAAAAAACACAACTGAAGATACTCTAAGGTAACTGCACAACTGCTGCAAAGCATGACCAGATGCATGTCATCACAGACAGATCTCCACAAGCTACCTTGCTTGCTAATGTCTTGAGGCAAACATAACACTGCCAAGACTCATTCACATTCTATTCTGTTTGAATTGTTTGCATTCCTTGGCAAAATAAAAGAAAACAACAGCTTTATCAGCATTTAACAAATAATTTATTTACATAATAGTTATTTCCTGTTCAGTACATTGTTTGCTTACTCACCAAACCAAAATCAAAACTGACCAGCTCCGCAGTGTGGAATATCTGTGAGGCTCGGGCAGCTTCGACACTACAGAATTATGACCTCTTTAGCAAACCATTCTACCAACCTCCCTCTAATGGTAAAAGGGATTTAAAACGAAGAAAGTACTCCACCTTCAGAGCCCTTTAGCGTGTTCCAAGATTCTCTTCCTCCGGACCCTCGTCGCTGGGAATAACCTTCAGCAGGCAATCTGACACTTCCAGCGTGAAAAACCCATTCACTTGCTTGTAGGTGGAAATCCGCCAGCTTACAATAAACTGCCCCTCCTCTTGGGAAAACGACTTTCTTGAAAGAGCATAAAAACTTCCTAGAACACCGGTTTAATGGTCCTCTGTATAAACGTAGTCAAAACAGCCAAAATAAAACTCAGTAAACAAGCTGCCACTGCTAAACAGGCCCGTCTGAAGTTCCAGTAAACTGTAGCCTCCAGCCCACAGCAGGCTTCCCAAACTGTGCTCCAAAGTCCTGGAGGCAGAACAATTCCATCCACAGTATTCAGCTGCAGCAGAGAGGAAATGATGTCAGAACAAAAGCATTCTGGCTCAGCTGTGTGAGAAACCACTCCATCGCTACAGCTACCAGAGCTCTTCTTTAACTCTCAGTTACCTCTTTGACGCAGTACAAGAGAGGACAGTGTGCTTTCCTCGCAACCCCAGTAATTTCACAATCGACGCGTCTTCCAAGAACTCACACTCCACTCCCCCCCGATTCAGCGGCATACCCTTCCTGAGGGACTTCCTCTTCTGCGGATGTCCAGGGTTTGTTCGCACTCCATATATGACGCTACACAAGTCCACACACTCCCCTATCAAAGAGATTTCTTGTGTTAAATGCCGTTTGCGAACAAAGGCCTGGTTATTGCTGAATTACAGTTTCTTACAGTTTTCACAAGATCATCACCCCCTCATCTAGATTCTCCTTTCTTTCCCCCAGTTACTATTCTCTTCACCTCCCCTCCTCTCCTCTCCACTGCGCGTTGGCTCGAGTCAGGCCTGTCACTCCTGCAGCTTTTGGGTGACCCAGGAAGGTCACTAGGTGTCCCACAATTACACTTCTCCGCTCTCACTTCCTCTTTTTGTCTCAATACGCTCCCCGGGTACAGTTTCGCTCATGACAACGAGGCGAGAAATCTTCACACAGAAACGAACACCCTCCTTCCTGCCGCCCGCTCCTCCTGTACAGCCCCGCTGCTAAACCGGCCCGCAGCGAGGCGCCGAGTTCTCCAGGGGAACGCTGGATCGGTCTTTGCAGGTAGCGGACAAACTGCACCGCCCTGCCAGTCTCTGTCCACTGTGCCCTGAAGGAGCCCTGCCCGCCAGTCGGCACACCGGTCGGCTCCTGGACGCTCAGGCCTGCCGCTCTGCTGCAGGAGGGGTCCGCACATTAGCGGCTGGACTTCCATCAGATTTCCCTTCATCGCCTTTAACGCTGCACACTTCCGCCATGCCCTCCGCGCAAGGGATTCCAGACGCACCCAGCCTGTCACTTCAATAAAGATTGCCGGCTAGGCTAAACATAAAATGAGAAGCCTTTCCAACCTTTTCACTTAGACGATGATTTAATATGCAGTCTACAGACGACTCCGGAGAGCGGAAGAGAAGGCTAATGATCAAATCTGCAATGTTATCAATTCCAAGAGATCTGGGGACAAGCTTATCACTGCGCGCCGGCTCTGACCTGCCTTGCGCTGCCTCTGCCCCAGCAGGTGGCCCGAGCTCAAGGGAGCGTCGCCCTCAGCAGCGTGAATAATCCCGCCCATCTCCCGGGTGGCCGACTCCGACACCCCCGCAGCAGCGCGGCCCGAACACGACGCACACGTTTACACAGGACATGGATACACATGGTGACATTAAAAACTCATTTCACGACCTAATTTATAAGTGGTGCGCAATATCCAACTATCAACCCACGGGGCTGGATCTGCGGAAGGCAGTAAATGATGGAAACGAATGCTCTCTAATCTTCAAGGTCAGGCCGACATTGTTACCATTCGTGGGAGACCAGAGTACAATCCTGCAAGAAGCATCTAAATTCATGAACACTTTTCTCTCAGGGTATATTAAAAAAGGCTCTCTTGCCTTTTACCAGCGAGTTTAAAAGCAGGCAGGTATTGAATCATAGGAAACATGGGTTATCGGGAAGTTTTACTTCTCCTAAAGAGAGCCCCATTGTAGTTCAATTGCACTTGTGAATCGTTAGTTTTCTACTGTGGACGAACACGCTCAGGAATTAATCCAAGACGAATGCTCGGGTAATACTTCACTGTTGGGATAATGGTCCTTAAACAAAAGGACCCAGTACTGATGGCAGCGAATCAGTCGGACGTGCCACCTGCTCCCCCATCGCCCACACAGGGAAGCCCTGTTGCACGCCACCACGCAGCGTGCACCATCGCAAATCAAGTCATTAGGTGGGTTAGCCTGAAGCATGAACTGGGTCACTCACCCATCAAGGAGAATTTGTTGGCTTTATAACCACAGCTCTGCCCTGCAGCACCCAGCATATTTCAACAACAAAACTAAACTACTGCCGACTCCAGACTGCGTTTGCACCCTACAAATTAGTGCAGATAGTTAATTCAACCCCAGCAGACATAATTTCACCTTGTGCGGATCTTCCATACCACCTGAAATATAACCGGGTCTTCAGCTCCACTAACTTCCCTCGTCTCGCAGTTACAGTGAGAGGGGGCTGAAGGAATATGAAAAATAGTTCACATCCTGATTGCTCATGGGCTCAGTATGATGACCACGGAAAAATATGCCCATGGAAAGGGAAGGAATACTTCTATTCCAGGCATTTGCAGACCTTTGAAAGATTGGATTCTTCCTCTTAAAAGCATTTTGAATGAAGTCATGTGTGGAGTTGATTTTCTCTGCATCACATCTGTTCATATCAGACACCATTTAGATCTCATTTCCTGCTGGTCATCAGCATCCTCGTCTTCAAACAGTAAGGCTCTGTGGGACTGACTGAACCAGAATCCTCATACAGGACCTCATTTACGTAAGTGACAGAGCCCAATAAATATAAAACACTGTAATGAGTGTTCAAAAACAAGTCCAAGTTCAAATTCTAATCAATATAGTAGCCTCTGATCATTTGCACAGAGCTTTTCATGCAGACCTCGGAACAGCCCAGTGAACAAGAGACCACTTTTCTGTGGTGCAACAAGCAGGTCTTTCAACATCAACACCACAAATGTGCTGCACAGCAAAACTCTTCTAAATGAGAGCAAAGCTATTGACTATTAGAGTTCCATCCATTAAACCGGGAAAAATACAATTAGTCAAACAAAGCCTTTTATTACTTCGTATCAGCAATCCAAATAACCACCTTCGTGTTCTATACATTCCTTGTTAGGTTAATTTTCCTTCCTCCTCTTGACCAATAAAGCTTATACTTTCCGGATTTCCCCAAGTCAACGTATAATCATGAAACTGCAATTCTGAACAGTTAACACTGTCACTGCTAAAACACTGAAAGGATGTCGTATTGGTAAATGTCAAAATTTACATACACCCAGAAATATGGAACAAGTATTCAATAGCATTTTAATTTATGAAATGAATCACCATAAAGGAATACTACAATAAACCTCTAATGCCAAAAAACCAAAACAACCCAAAAGCTGCCATACATACAAATACACAGTGCTTCAGAAAACAATTTTTACTAACAGATATGGCACCTACTTTAATCATCCAACATAAAAAAAAATATATATACATACACACATTTACAAAACCCTATAATCTGGTATCTATGAACCACATTTGCCTGCAGTGGCCCGATGTGCGATGGAAATTGTAAGTTGTAAAACTATATAATTTAATGCAAGACCTACAATCTATATTTAGGTTGATAAGTAAATTGCAACTTTTAAACAGTAGGGTCTCAACATCTGCAAGTTCACTTACTCGTGATTCCATCTGGCTGGGGCAAGACCAGAGCAGGATGAAAC